TTGATTGTTGAAGTGGAAATACCTGAAGAATCAAGAAGATACTTAGGCGGCACCACCATTGATCTATCAACAAATCCAGTGAGATTGTACCGACGAAAAATCGGTGCAAATAGAGCACTCTAGGTGAGCCAATTTGTGGTTGTCAATTTCATTGGAACAAGAGATCCAATGTTCTGGATTGTGATCGAAGAACTGACCGAATTAGGGCACAAATTTGGGATTGAAGAATGTGTGGGAAGAGGCTGAAAGGTAAAGTCAGAGGAAGGCAAATGAGGTGCCGCCATTGTTTCTAGCTTAGGGTTTCAGAGAGAAAGATCGTGAAATCGTAGAGAAGCAGGAGAGAATGATCTTCGGAGGTCATTAGAGACCAGCGATTAATACCATGTTAGAATCTTGAGAGAGGTTTCGGTAAGAGAAAATGTAGAGAGATAGAGTAAAATAATATTGTGTATTTTCATATCTCAATAAGATTACACTTAGGTATATATATACCAGCATTTTCATATAAGAATAACCACCTATCTTAATGACTAAGTAATGTAACTAACTCTTGTACCAAACTCTAACAATATCATTCATTGTTATTTTACAATGCTACCTTTAATACCTCCCAAAGTCAAATCTAGTGTTTGGAAAATCCTCAATAACTTTATTCTCACCCAAGCTAATATGGGCCATAGGCATATCACTACCGATTCTTTTTGTGTTCAATGTTCCCATCCTTATGAGACAAGATGCATCTTTTGAAGGACTGCCCATTTGCCAAATGTGTGTGGTTATCGTTTCCATTGGGCATTCCCATTTGTGATTGCAATCCTCCATTTCCTCTATGTTGGGTTATGGATGCCATTGATAACTTCTCCTGGGGACTTGAGATGTTTATTATGATCTATTGGTCTATCTAGGGTGCTCAAAACACAAAATTATGGTCTGGCTCTTGTGATTCTCCTGATGTTAGCACTACTCGGAGTATCTACTGGTGGCAGGAATTCATCTTCGTCCCCAAAGCTATCCCTCTTCCTCTGTGGCATTCTCCACCTCCCTACAAAAGGTTGGCACCTCCATCTGGCAAACTGAAACTGAATGTCGAGGGTGCGTGGGATGTGAATACGAAATTGGGCGGTTATGGTAGCATTGTTTCTGATGATCGCGGCTGTTTTGTAGTGGCTAAATGTGATCATTTTCTGAACGCATGCTCTCTTCTTCTTGCGAAAGCTATGGCTTTCCGCACTCTTTTGGTTTGGTTGTCAGCTAGGGGTTTTCATGATTTATTCATTGAGTCAGATTCCCTCTAGATTGTGGAGGCTTTCATTACCACGAAACCATTTATTAGTGTCGCTATGATAAACAACAAGAAACGTATATTACTATCAGATTTTAAGCAAAATCCGAAAGAAAATGGATGCAATGGTGGATATAATAAGCGACATAATTACCAGTGCCAAGAAATGAATTTTCCGCCAGAAAATACTCTAAAATCGATAGAAATTGTGTCGGATATAACCGACAGAAAATATATTAATAATGAATAATTAAGAACATTCTTTGTCAGATAAAACAGACAGAAAATACTAAAACCAACAGATTTTATGTCGAATATAACCGACAGAGTATTTATTAATAATGAATAAATAAAAGCATTATTGTCGGATAAAATCGACCGAAAATATATTAATAAAAAAATATACTAATACAAGAGTGGGGGAAGGGAGAAAGTAAGTAAATTTGTTTTTAAGCAAAGCAATGAAACAAGTTTCATAGTAGATATTGAGTTTTGCTGTCAAAGCTGTAGGAAAAAGTACGTAAATTTGTTTTGACTTCCTTTGTATTGTAGTTTTTGTTTCCTAAGTAGGGAGAAATCGTAGGTTCATAAAATGGGATTGAGATAATTCTGTCTCTTGCAGGTATACCAGAGTTATCCGATGAAGCAGCTAGAATTTTCATTTGGTGTTTGACCCAACATGCTGATTGCTTTAAGCAGTGGGTGAGATATTCTACTTCTCATTAAGTATTGAAAGCTCCATTGCTGATTGCCTTACCATAATGAGTTTGCCTTTGTTTTTTGGCTTTTTAGCAAGCTTCATTACTGCCACTGTGTTGGCTCCATATGATATTCCCACCTACATGAATCAGAAGAAAGATAGATAAATATATTTGAAAAACAAAACAAAACACAAACCGGAAATTGCTACCACTGTGTTAGACACCCCATGCTTCGTGGCAACATCAAGGTCTTGAACCAGAAAATTTCATGTCTAGCACCTGCATATACATAAGTTAATGAATTATTTCACCTTGTCTTTCCCAAAGACTCTCAGTTGCAAGTGTTGAACTGGAAGTAAAGAGGAGAGAAGAGAAGGAGAAGGAAATGAGGAGAGGAGAATAGGAGGAAGGAAGAGGGAAGGAAGAATGCACCAACGCAAGGAAGAGATAGAGGGGTTTTATTTTGGAAAATTTTCATTACTGACGGTTAAAATCGACATAAACATTTTTTTTTAAATAAAAACCGACAAATTTTTTTTATTACTGTCGATTATAACCGACAGAAAAAAAAATGGTGGCAAAAATCCCCCCAAAATTCCCTCCCAAAATTTTAAATTCCCTCTCCCAAGATTTTAAAATCCCCCCCCCAAGAATTTTGTTACGATTTAAAAAAATAAAATAATAATTGTTTGGTTTAATAAATAAATAATATGTATTCAAATAGAATACGCTTTTAAAAATTAAATAAATAATTGTTTGGTTTAATAGATAATAAGCCATGTAAAATATGCGATAAAGAAACAAAAAGATAATTGTACAATGAAAATGTCATTACACAACTAAATATTGTCTAATCAATACTTGAAAAACATAAATAAAAATTTAGCACAAATTACTTTTCCTACTTCAAAATTTAAGCAAATTTAACGGAGATATGCATTCTACAAAACTAGTTTCCATGATCTAACCGTCAAATTTGTTTGTAAATACTACAAGATCGCATACGTTAAAAATCGCAAAAAAAAACATTCAGAGATTAGGTAACAGAACAAAAGCTTTCAGTTATAAACGAAAAATCACAATTAAGCGGTTATTTTAGCTCCGGTTTTGATGATTTTTTACAGCTACACTCCTCGACCCTATAAGAATGCAATGAAGGAATTCGATCTTCAATTTAAAATATTTACACTAGTAGATACCACAAAATCTTATTTTATACATAATGGAAGTATAATATTAATTCTAAATGTTTGTTTAATCTACCGTTTTAACGCGATATGCATTCTACGAAACTTTTTTCAATGATCTAACCGTCATACTTGGTTGTACACATTCCGAGATCGCATACGTAAAAAATCACAAAAAACAAACATTCATAGATTAGGTAATAGAACAAAAGTTTTCGACGGTTATAAACGAAAAATCACAATTTAACAGTTATTTTAGCTCTGATTTTAATGATTTTTACAGCTACACTCCTCGACCCTATAAGAATGTAATGAATAAATTTGATCTTCAATTTAAAATATTTACAGTAGTGGATATCACAAAATCTTAATTTATACTTAATAGAAGTATAACAGTTACTCTTAAGTGTTTATTTAATCTACCATTTTGACACGATACGCATTCTACAAAACTTTTTTAAATGATCTAACCGTCAAACTTGTTTGTACTCACTCCGAGATCGCATATGTAAAAAATCACAAAAAATAACATTCAGAGATTAGGTAATAGAACAAAAGTTTTTTACGATTATAAACAAAAAATCACAATTTAACAATTATTTTAGCTCTGATTTTGATGATTTTTTACAGCTACACTCCTCGACCTTATAAGAATGCATTGAACAAATTCGATCTTCAATTTAAAATATTTACACTAGTGGATACCACAAAATCTTATTTTATACTTGATGGGGAAGTATAACATTAACTCTAAGTGTTTGTTTAATCTACCGTTTTGATACGATACGCATTCTATGAAACGTTTTTCAACGATCCAACCGTCAAACTTCTTTGTACACACTCTGAGATCGCATATGTAAAAAATCGCAAAAAATAAGCATTCAGAGATTAGGTAACAGAACAAAAGTCTTTGATGGTTATAAACAAAAAAAATCACAATTTAACGGTTATTTAGCTCAGATTTTGATGATTTTTTACAGCTACACTACTCGACGCTATAAGAATGCAATGAATGAATTCGATCTTCAATTTAAAATATTTATACTAGTGGATAAATCTTATTTTATACTTAATGGAAGTATAACATTAACTCTTAAGTGTTTGTTAAATCTATCAATTTGATAGGATATGCATTCTATGAAACTAGTTTCAATGATTAAACCGTCAAATATGTTTGTACATACTTTGAGATAACATGTGTAAAAAATCGTAAAAAAAAAAAAAATCTGAGATTAGGTAATGGGACCATGAGTGAAAAAAAAACATTCAAAGATTATCCTGGCGGCCGCCCAAAATTTTGCTTTGTTCGTGTCGGTTATATCCGATAGGGCCATCAGTGAAAAAAATCAATAAATAAATATTTAAACCATGTGTTTATTAGTGTTGCATACCCCTTATCATTCCAAATTAGATAAATTAGGTTCTCATCCTTTCTTTTGCTTAGTACTTCATTGATTAAAATCCTATTCATTTTCAATTTTTGATCAAGGTCCTTGGGTATTAATAACATCATTAATTATTTCAATAATAAAATATTTTTTTAATTTCTAAATATATTCATTTAATGTTAAAAATGTTACAATTAGTATATTTATATTTATGACTAAATTTTTTAATATATTTTTTGTTTTAGTTTGTACCCATTTTTAATTTGTAATTCTTTTTTAACTTGTACTGTCACAGCCCGTCCCAGAGTTACTAAATACCGAGGACGTGAAATTACTAAAACGCCCTTAAACGGGATTAAGGTGCGTAAATTTGGTATTTGTTTTACACTAAGATCCTAAACTAGGGTTAGAATTTATTAGTATGTGTTAAATTATCTGTGTTGGACTTTAGGTGGGACCCTACCCCCTAAATCCCTCCCCAAAACCCGTGGGATGTCTCTCTCTCATCTCCCTTCACTCTCTCTCTCTTTCTTCATTTCAGTATCACTCTCTCTCTCTTACTCTCGAACTCTCTCAAGCTCTCGGACAAACACCAAGAACAATCACAATCCTACACCAACGTCCGATCTAAGATCACCACGACACTCCTTAGGACCTCACGAGCACGGGAATACCAGTTTTAGGTAAGTTCTATTTCGAGAACCTTAGTTTTAAAACACCCCGTGTAATGGCACTGTTCACGAACTTAATTTTGGTTGTGTTTAGGTTAAACAAAGATCACCACGAGTCTTAGGAAGTTCCAAGGAGGCTCGGAGTGCCTCGTTTGAACAAAATGGACGTCGGGATCGTCGGGTTCGAGTTTGGCCGAAATTGAAGAATTTTGAAAGGTTTGATCTTGTTGTTTTTAGGCCTTAAAACCATCCCAACGTGATAGTACATGTTAAATGCTTCATTTTGGTATAAAATGCGAAGAAATTGGTTGAAAAACGAAGGAGAAAAGTCAATTTGAAATTTTTCCAGAAACCGGCGAACAGTCGCCGGCGACCGGCGACTCGCCGGAGAAGACAGGGAATCTTCCGTCAAGTTGGACGGAATATTCCGACGCCGTTAGTTAACTTTAACGGAAACCGTTAGTTTTTAACGGAATATTCCGGGAATATTCCTAACGCCGTTCACTGTAGCCGTCAGTGTGCCTGGCACGTGGCTGCGCGTGGGCCGCGCGTAGGTCCGTGCCACGTCAGGCGCGTGGGGGCGCGTGGAGCATCCAAAAATTATTTTAAAATTATGGGGATGATCCTGAGGTTGTGTAGGTCACTGTGGTATATTCATATACCCAATTTGAGCATCGTATGAAGAATTTATTACCTAGTTTGGTTTAGGTGCGTTAAATGTGCGTTAAATGATTGTTTTAAGTTATTTCACTTCTAGGTGGAACATTTAACGAGGACGAGCACATCCAGGGGCGTCAAGGGGGTTACGACCCGGCGACATACCAGTGAGTGGGCATTGCTTTCTATATATATACCTATATACTCGATTTCCCCAGAAATCAAATTTAAATGAAAAATATATTGAAATGAAATGAAATATGATGTGATTGCCATGCATAGAATGTTATGGATATTATGAACTGTCGTATGATGCATATATGTATGATGGTGCTGTGGACGCACAGGTAAGTATTTAATTACTGTTATGTTGAGGATGATGATATATTGAGCTCATATCCTGCACCATGGTTTAGTGCTTATAGTATTCACCGCATCGCACGCTCGCCTTGGATCCAAGTAGATGCTGGTCGTACAGTCCACGCGGAGTGGGTACGACGGGCCAGTCGTAGAGTGTTAGTGAGATTATGACTGGTGGGTGACCTTAGGTTATTATATACAGATGATTGATGAGAGAAGCACTAGAGCGAATATTACCATGAGTCGTTCAGACTACATTAGGTGGTTCCGACTTATGTGCAGAAGGCCGGACAGGTCACGCGGAGTGACTCCGGCAGAGAGTGAGATTGATAGATGTTGAGCTCTAGGTTCAATCGTTCAAGGCTATTAGAGGGCCTCCGATTGATTATTTCTTTTACCTGATTATATTATGTTAATGCATTCATACTACACTGTTGAAATTGGCATGGTACATTCTTTATTGAATCTGTTATAAGATTGATGATTGAGACAGTTGAGATATATATGCTATATACTATTTTTCTGGGAAAGTATACAGGTTTTCCAAAAAGGGGTTATAAATGTGGATTTATGAAATGATTTGGAAAAGCTTGATTTTCGCCCACTCACGTTTTCTGTTTCGCCCCTCCAGGTTCTAGTTGTTAGTTGAGGCGTTGGTGGCCTACGAGGACTGCTTCGGCGTTCTGACAGACTAAATAAATGTAGGATTCACCCGAGGGTGTTGTAAAATAGTTATGGTCCTACTTGACTGCACCTAGACGCTTATGCTCTGTTTATGTGTGTTTAGTACACTCTTATGCACATAGAATGCTAGGTTGTAAATAACTGCAATTAGTGGTTTTCGTTGATTCGTATTTTATTATTAAATCGTTTCCGCTTGCGTTATGGTTACGTCACGCTTACGTGACGGCCAGCATGTCCTAGTCTTCGGGTTAGGGTGTGTCAGTTTGGTATCAGAGCATAGGTTGCAGTCCTGTATAACTAATGAGTTCTTCTATTGATTTTGTTATGTTTTCTGTCAGAATTATGCCGCCTCGTAGAGATCCTCGCCGTGCTGCTGAGCCTAATTTCCCCGATATAACTCAGCTAGGGGCAGCAATGGCTCAAGCTTTTCAGGCTAATATCCGTCCTCCTCAGAGAACGCCCGTAGAGACGATGTATAATCTGAAACTGGAAACTTTTGAGGGAAATGAAGGCTATGAAGGGGCAGAAAAGTGGTTGGATCGGATTGAGCAGACCTTTCAAGTGATGCAAAGTCAGGGAAACCTGCCAGCTAATAGATGGGTGGAGACCACCACCTGGTTTTTGGGCCGTGAGCCAGCTGCGTGGTGGATAAATCAGTCGAGGCACATGGCACCTGAAAGGGCAGCCGAATGGGAGGTATTTAAGGAAAATTTTATGAAGAGATTTGTTCCTCCGGAATATATAGATCGCAAGAAACAGGAATTCACCAGTCTGAAGCAGAGGAATATGTCTGCACATGAGTACTACAGGAAGTTTACTGATTTATCCCGTTATGATTCTGATTTAGCGGGTAATCAAGCAGAAATGCTTCGTCGTTTCAAGTTAGGATCTAAGAAGAAGTACAGAACGTTTGCCAATGCACTTCCCTGTGCCGATTATCATGAGTATTTTGAGATTCTGGTCCGGATGGAAGACTCTGATAATCTTCCGGACAGTGAGGATGAAGAGGATAAGGGTAATGGTCAGAAGAAAAATGAGAAAGGTAAAGGTGTTTCCATTCCAGGACCTCGTCAGACGCAGAATTTCAAGAAAAGTGGAATGAGTTCTAGTTCTTCCAGTGGTGGATTTAGTGCCACAGGTCCGAGGAGAGGAGGTGGTAGGTTTGGTAATGGACCTAGATTTTCTGGTCAGAGAGGCTTTGGTGGTACTGGTAGTTCGGGTTCTCCGTTATGTCGCCATTGTAATTTCCGACATTATGGGGAATGTAGGAGAATCAGTGGTGCATGCTTTACATGTGGTCAGACAGGACATAGAGCTATGAATTGTCCCCAGAATCAGCAGAGGCCCCAGCAGCCTGTTAGGCCAACACCAGCACCGACTCAACAGAACTTTAATTCAGGCAGTTATGGCCAGGGTGGTCGTGGTGGTGCTTATCACTATCAGGGTGATGCTACTCCTTATGCTCCGGGACAGTATCACTATTCCCAGGATCCTTATTTTCAGAGTGGATATTCTCAGGATCAAGGAGGTTATACTTCATATTATCTCAATCACGCTAATTACGCACACACTGCCTATAAGAGCAAGTGTCAGTTGCCCCTTTTCTTGATTTACTGGAGCATTTGAAGACTAGAAGAAATTCCAGTTGACCTTAAGATCAACTAGAGGGGTGAAATGTTCTTTCAATTCAGGGTTGTCTAACATAAGTCATGTCTAATGTTCAGATCAATTCACCATTGATTTAAATTCATTTGATATTGAGGTACAGTGAATAATACTGTTAAAAGATATTTGGGAAATACCGTAGTTGGTAAATATTGTACAACCATCATTATTGGAGACACCGGATTGATTGTTAGGTTATTTATGACTTGATTGTACAGTATCTGGAATTTTACGGGGATTCTTTACAGGGGGGAGATTCTTTTAAAATGGGGACTGAAATTATTTCGTTAAGCTTTTTTTGGTATTTGTTTGTAATTTTTTTAAATGATTGTATGTGGTTACTTTTTGTCGGGACATGGGACTACCCCTTGTCATATGCTTAAATAGATGATTTACAATATGTTTTGAATACTTATAGAAATTAGGTCAACCCATGCTCAAATAAAAGGAACTTATTTTTTAATAAATTTAATCCTTGTAATCTATGTAGAATTATGCTGGTGGGTGACCTGAATTATTCATGAGTTTCATACATTGGTACTATGTGCAGAATCTACCCGGCAGAGAGTTTGATATGTGTGAGCTCTATTCAATCGTTCAAGGCTATTAGAGGGCCTCCGATTGATTATTTCTTTTACCTGATTATATTATGTTAATGCATTCATACTACACTGTTGAAATTGGCATGGTACATTCTTTATTGAATCTGTTATAAAGATTGATGATTGAGACAGTTGAGATATATATGCTATATTACTATTTTTCTGGGAAAGTATACAGGTTTTCCAAAAAAGGGGTTATAAATGTGGATTTATGAAATGATTTGGAAAAGCTTGATTTTCGCCCACTCACGTTTTCTGTTTTTCGCCCCTCCAGGTTCTAGTTGTTAGTTGAGGCGTTGGTGGCCTACGAGGACTGCTTCGGCGTTCTGACAGACTAAATAAATGTAGGATTCACCCGAGGGTGTTGTAAAATAGTTATGGTCCTACTTGACTGCACCTAGACGCTTATGCTCTGTTTATGTGTGTTTAGTACACTCTTATGCACATAGAATGCTAGGTTGTAAATAACTGCAATTAGTGGTTTTCGTTGATTCGTATTTTATTATTAAATCGTTTCCGCTTGCGTTATGGTTACGTCACGCTTACGTGACGGCCAGCATGTCCTAGTCTTCGGGTTAGGGTGTGTCATGTACCAATTTTCTTTTCAGTTTTAAGTTGAACCCATATATTAATTTCTTTTTGTACCCATATTTTTTAAAGTTTATTTGTATTTGTACACATATATTTTTTATTTGTACTTTTCATTTTGCTAAATGTACACATGCTAATTATATGTACCCATTCATGTAAAACTTTTTAATCTTAAAATGTAATCATTCTTAAATATACCAATTTGTTATATGTAAAATGTACCTTTATATATATATATATAAAATCTATTCAATTTTTTTCTAATCCATTTTTAAACTTATATGGGTACATTCGTTTTTGGGTAAATTACACTTTCAAACCTCAGGTTTGGGTTCTATTTCAATTCCTTACAACATCTTTAAAACATTTCACTTTCATATCTTAAGTACTATTTTATTTCAAAATAATACATCCGTTACATTTTCCATCCATTGATCCGTTAAATGCTGACGTAGCTGCCACATATATGCCACGTGGTTGCCAAATGTCTGCCACGTGGCAAACAAAATAATTTTTTAATTTTTTTTTAAAACTTGAATTTGTACAAAAAAAAACAAAAAAAAAAAACTAAAACCCAACAACCTACATCTGCAAGAAGAAGAAGAAGAAGAGGGAGGAAGAAAGAAAGAAAAAAAATCACCCTAGCGACCAACTCAAAGTAATTTCAAAGCTCACCCACATTGAAAATCTCACCAGATCGTAGAGGGAGGAGGGTTGCACGGGGAGAAGGGGAAGCTGGGTTTCCGCCTAGGGGGAATGGGAGGAGGGTCGTGGGCCGGGGGGGGGGGGTTGGTTTTTTTTTCTTTTCTTCCTCCCTCCTCTTCCTCTTCTTCTTCCTGCTGAAAATCACTAGATCGAGGAGGGAGGACGGTCGCGCGGGGAGAGGGGGGAGCTGGGTCTCCGGCGGGGGGAGGGGGGATGGGAGGAGGGTCATGGGGGGGGGGGGTTGGTTTTTTTTTTTTTCTTTTCTTCCTCCTTCCTCTTCCTCTTCTTCTTCTTGTTGCAGATTTCTTCTTCTTGGGGTTTCAATTTTTATTTTTTTTTGTAAAAATTCAGGTTTTTTTAAAAAATAATTAAAAAATTATTTTGTTTGCCACGTGGCAAACATTTGGCAACCATGTGACATATATGTGGCAGTCACGTCAGCATTTAATGGATCAACGGATGGAAAATGTAACGAATGTATTATTTTGAAATAAAATAATATTTCAGGTATGAAAGTGAAATGTTTTAAAGATGTTGTAAATAATTGAAATAGAGCCCAAACCTGAGGTATGAAA